TTGATGTGGTTACAAACTTTAAGCTTTGCCGAAACTGTCTTAAGGCACGCCACACAGCAAGTGATTGTGCCTCGACATACGCATGCCAAAAGTGTATGCAGAAACACCATACAATTCTTCACGACAGTTTATCATCTTTGTCCAGCACTACTAGTCCACGCCTTACATGCACCAACAGCATGGCTCAGCAAAAACCCATCGACGCAACAACAGCAACACTTGCGCCAGCTCTATTAGCAACAGCACGAATTGGTGTGCGGTCCTCTTCCGGGCATTTTATGAAACTTCGAGCCCTTTTGGACAATGGTTCGCAAACATCTTTTATAAGCGAGTTTGCCGTTCAGCGTTTGCATCTACGCAAGAACCGCCTTTCGGTTACAATCTCTGGAGTAGGCGGGAGTACTGTGGGTGAATCGAAGAGTTTGGTTAAGTTCACAGTGTGTTCCCTCATCGAACCTAATTTCAGCATGGAGTGCTCTGCTCTCGTGCTTTCTCGTGTAGGACATAATATGCCGTCGAATAGAATTGACCCAACTCCGTACAGTGACTTTCTTGGTCTCAGCTTAGCAGACCCGAAGTTTTACGAGCCAGGGTCAATCGACATCATCATCGGAGCAGATATCTATGGCGCTCTACTGCGCAACGAACTCAAGCGTTCCAAGTGCGGGGACTCCACTGCCCAAAATACTCATCTAGGGTGGGTCGTCTACGGTCGCTTACCCGTAGGAGTAAGTCGGCAGCTATCAGCAAGACTATGTGCCACAGCCACTGCGGAACTAAATACGTTGGTACAGCAGATGTGGAAATTTAATCAAATGGATGACATATCTTCTCCATCCAAGATGACAGAGGATGAGATTTATTGTGAGGAGTTTTTTAAACGAACGGTACGCAGGGACCACGTCGGTCGGTATCACATTCGGTACCCATTTAAAGAGGACTCCGACTTGTCCGCACTATCTGACTCCAAATGCGACGCAATCAAACTATATGCTTGCCAGCAACATCGTCTTCAACGCGATGCAAAGATGAACGAGTTATACAATGAGTTCATGGACGAATATATCGCTCTTGGCCACATGGAGCAGATATGCGAAGATAAGGAGCCACGGTATGCTTGTTACATTCCCCACCATGGTGTATACAAAGAAGGAAGCTCGACTACGAGGTTAAGAACTGTATTCAATGGGTCTAGAAAATACAAAAGTGGTTTATCTTTGAATGATTGCCTTCATGTTGGACCCAAGCTGCAAAATGACTTAAGTACAATCATATTAAAGTGGAGAATGCATCGGGTTGGATTCATGGCGGATATAGAGAAGTGCTTTCGACAAATACGAGTCGATCGGCGGGATGCCGATATGCAACGCATTATATGGAGAGGCGGAGATGAACAGCCGACCGCTTATCGACTCCTCACAGTGACCTATGGGTTAACATGCTCTCCGTATATAACAATTAAAGTTCTGAACACCCTAGCCGAAGACGAGGAAACAGATTTTCCAACAGCGTCCAAAATTCTTAAGGAATCTTTTTATGTGGATGATTGCCTCCATGGCGGTGACACCGTCGAAGAAGCTATCGACAATCAATCTAAATTACGACAGTTACTGCATCGTGGGTGCTTCAACCTTCGCAAATGGAGCTCGAATTCCAACGAGTTTATGCAACATCTCTCCTCCGACGACATACAACCAGATACCTGCTGTAACTTAAATTTGGATCGGGAGACTAAGGCGCTTGGAATCTATTGGCTCTGTGACACTGATAGCCTGACATACAAAGTCAATATTACACCTGTGTCTGGATTCATTACCAAACGCCAACAACTTTCCGATGTGGCAAAAATATACGATCCCCTAGGTTTTTTAGCACCAATTGTCATAACCGGCAAGTTGCTTTGTCAGCAGCTTTGGATTTCAGGCTGCAATTGGGATGATCCGCTTCCAAACCCGATGCAGGATGAATGGCGACGATTTCGGGAAGAGCTTCATAAAGTTCAAAATCTGCGGGTTCCCAGGTGGATAGGCGTTACACCGGCAGTTGACAACTTTCAACTGCATGTTTTCTCTGACGCATCAACTTTAGCGTATGCCGCTGTTGCATATCTTCGCGTGGAAACAACAGACAGTGTATGTAGGGTGACCATTCTCACAGCTAAAACCAAGGTTGTTCCAATAAAAAAAATTACGGTGCCCTGCTTGGAGTTGAATGGGGCTCTTTTGGCATCGAAGCTTGCGGCCAAACTCATTGAAACTATGCAACTTCCACTCAGTAAAATTTACTGTTGGTCAGACTCAAAAACAACTCTCAGTTGGATTCGTTCGCGGCCGGGTCAGTACAAGCAATACGTCAGCAATCGAATTTCTCAAATTCAGGAACTGGTACCCATTGACTCATGGAGATACGTCCCAACTAAGGCTAATCCGGCAGACATTGCATCACGCGGAGTATTTCCATCGCAACTTGCCAATTTAGCAATGTGGTGGAACGGGCCCGATTGGCTGCATCATGGCGAAGATAAGTGGCCACAGCAGAATGTCATCACTGCATCTTCGAATCTTGAAGTCATAACATCACTAGCAACAACCGAACCGCAACAGACATATTCGCTAGCTACGCATTTATTAGAAAAATATTCGAACATCAACACTCTGCTGGCGGTGACATCTTGGTGTCGTCGATTCATTGCGGCACGCCTAAAACAACCTCATGATCGGACATCGTGGTGTACGGCAGCAGAAAGAGCTGAGGCACTACAGTTTTGGATCAGGTATGTTCAAACTATTCACTTTACTAATGAAGTTGCGTGTCTTCGTTGCAGTAAGCCATTAAGTCGTAGGAGCAAGCTACTTAAGCTTAACCCGATGATAGACGAAGACGGACTTATAAGGCTCAATGGGCGCCTTAAAAATGCGACCATACCAATATACGAACGTTTTCCCGTCATATTGCCAAAGGACAACGCCTTGTGCACATTGTTAATAGCTCAAGCCCATGAGTGTACCATGCATGGAGGAGTTCAATCAACACTTAATTTTTTAAGACGACGATACTGGATCATCGACTCTCGTTCGGCTGTCAAGCGTTATATCCACAGCTGTGTTCGTTGTATTAGACATCGTAGCACTGCTGCAACGCAAATTATGGGTAGCCTTCCTGCGCCGCGCTGCAATATTTCAAGAGCCTTCAGTCACTGTGGGTTGGACTACGGCGGTCCTTATTCTATTCGTACTACGAAAGGCAGAGGTCACCACAGCTACAAAGGCTACGTAGCTCTCTTTGTTTGCTGTAGTACGCGAGCCGTTCATTTGGAACTCGTTAGCGACATGAGTACTGAAACGTTTCTCGCTGCGCTACGCCGATTTTTTTCTCTGCGTGGATATATCTCTGACATATATAGTGATTGCGCTACGACTTTCGTTGGTGCGAATGCAGAGTTAAGAGAACACCACGCTGCATTGCGAAAGCAACTTGAAACAGCAGCTAGTGCTATGAGTACTCGAGGTGTTTCGTGGCACTTTATACCTGCAGGGTCTCCGAATTTTGGAGGCATATGGGAGGCCGGCATCAAAAGCACAAAACATCATTTAAAACGCACAATAGGTAGCGCAACGCTGACGTTCGAAGAATTATACACGGTGCTAAAGCAAATCGAAGCGGTGCTTAACTCAAGGCCGATGTGTGCTTTGACTGATGATCCGAACGACCTATCGGCACTCACCCCTGGGCACTTTTTGGTGGGCGGGCCCATTTTAGCTACACCCGAACCTAGCCTACTCGAAGTTGATACAAGCAGACTCAAAAGGTGGAAACAAGTTCAACAAATGCAGCAAGATTTTTGGAAGCGATGGAGTTATGAATATTTACGAGAACTACAAGTCAGGCATAAATGGTTTCAACGCAAAGACAATCTGAAGGTTGGCAATTTGGTGCTGTTACGCGATGAGCGTGCTCCTCCTACTCATTGGCCGCTTGGACGCATAATTGAAGTTCATCCAGGCGACGATGGTGTCGTTCGAGTAGCAACTATACGCACAGCGTCGTCTGTTTTAAAACGTGCTATTTCGAAGTTGATTGTACTCCCAATTGAAGATAAAGGGACGCATATGGTGGGCGGCCATTCCTCTGAAATTTCGTCACAGCAAGTGGACGAGGTGGGCGGAATGTTACGGAGGAATGCAACTCTGCGTTGATACAACCATGCGCTAATGTTCCAATGCCATATGTCAATCGCTTTATTGCTTTTTCTTTTCCTTTTTTTCTCGCTCTTCTCATACGGATCTCAGCGACAGCGAACGTGTTCATATTTCGACCTCTTAATAAAATTTGTAATTTGCAAAATAAATAAAGTTTATTTTTTCGTTTAAAGTTTAACAATTACCATACATTACATTTTCCCGCTGGGTACTTTGTACTAGGGATGTTGCGAATGTGGAATGCGGTTGTCAAATATTTTTAAGAAATAATTTTGGTGAGTACGCTAAGTGGATTAGGTAAATAAAAATGGAAAAGTTAGTAATTTTTAATAATGTTTTTTTATTTAGTATTGTATTTAAGAAAGAGTAATTTTGCTGCCTTTTCGGGTTACAGCCTGTTTCCTAACGGGTCGTACATCAAACTTGCGCCACTAAATAACTACTCGCTCGAGGCGACAAACTTGAAAAACTTTAAACTTGACAAAATTGTAAATTCTTTTCGATTGACGCTGCACCAGTTGAGAGGACTTTCAGTTATATTTCTTTATTTTTTATTGCGGTGCAATAATTCCTTTTTGCGAATTGCATCGGGGCTGCAAATGTCGGATGCATCCTCCTGACTTTCATCTTCACAATCTAGCATCATGACAACATCGTTCTTTAAACACCGTTGTGTTCCAATTTGGAGAACCAATTCTTTTGGTTGTTTCAGAATTTGGAGACGTTGTGAATAGGTGGATATGGCAAATAAATTGTCATTTTCTAGGAATAAAAATTTCGAAGAAAATTCTGTTTTGAAAGTCGTGGCTGCCAGCAGAATTTGTTATTTTGTTAAGAAGGTACCCCGTTTTTTATAATAATTTGAATTATTGGAATCACGGACGATAAAGGTCTCAGATCTGCTTAGTTCCCGGGTGACTTCTTGGAAAGGTTCACCTGTAATGAATAGCTTGTTATTAATTTTTTTTATTAGTTAGCTGAGCTCGGCATTTCCTAGTTGCAGCCAGTCATAATGAATTCCTCACCGCTCTCGGTACCACAAGCCATCAAGTCCGTTTTGTTGTTCCATTCCATGCGCTCAATGAGTTTTGATATATTTTTTGAGGCGAATGAACGCAAATATTCGACATATCGTTAATAATATTTTAAAAGGGCGTATTTAACATTGTCGCTGAAATGCAAAAAACCACAACTAACTAAATTTTTGTATTGCCTAAAACGATGTGGGGACTTATGATTCGATGCAATGCCTCATAATCAATCAAAAAGTGAATTTTGAATTTTTAGTTAGTTTCGGCTTTTTGAATTTCAGCGACGATGTGAGTTAAGCTCTTTCGATACTATACAAACGATATATTACATGCCAAGTCCCACTCCTCAGTAGATATAAAATTCACCTTGAATTAATTCTTATTTAATTTGTGAACTTGGCTGCCAACTTATTTACTTACAAACCCTTGCCTAATCCATTTCCATCCCTCACTAAAATAAGCAGTAAGGATCGCAAAAGTAAGTACAAAAGACTAGATATGGATTCGACAAGGATTAGAGACATGAGCCGCTTAACAGTAGTAACAGTTTTTATTTTTTGAATTTTGAATTGTGTCGTTATTGCACAGGGCCATCGATATCATTTCATCGTTATTTCGATGCGTGCTAATTTTGATAATTTACACAAAATTAAAAAAAAAAATGTTTTTGTTTTCGAGCTGAATGACTAATAAAAAGAAACACGGAACTTAAGCATAATAAGTTTTATGAGAAAAAAAATAATTACACTTTTCTAAGAAAAAGTAGGAAAAACTAGCGATGCATCCAGTTTTTTCAACAGACCTTTGACAAATAATATTCGATAGTTAAAGGTAATCTTTTAACGAGCAAATAGTCAATTCTCTTTATAGCCAGCCGTTGACCATTTCCGCTGGAAATAATAACTATTATCTTACTCTTTGTCTTTAAATTAAGAAAGTAGGTGGGCGTAGGGGGACAGTCTTTACGTAGCATCTCCACAGGCAAATAATGTTGGCTACATTTTTTTTTTTTGCCAGATATACGTTTTACCAGCTCCCATTGATTATTGCGAATGCGAATGCGAATGTTAAAATTTATGCGAAAGTTCCGCGGTTGCTAATGCGAATGCGAATATTCGCAATAACCCTGCTTTGTACCTACGTACTATCCTGATATGTGCATTATCTTCTACTTGAACGTCCTTTCTTAATGTATCTATATACATATCTACATATACTTTCTCCAGTAGATGGTATTGTAAGTTTATTCACTTGTATATTTATACGCCTTACTATTTTCATACAATTATCTATGATTATACTATCGCTCGCGGCATATACGCACTGATTAATTTCATTTAGTTTCTTTCTTTCAATCTTTTGTTTATTACTTTATACATACACTCTAGTAAAAATAAATATATCGCTAGCTTAGAGTGAAAAGTTGTTAAGTCCACTTTTTATGAAAACTCATATTTTGATATAGGAAGCAGGGTAGGGATGTTTTTAAGTCCCGAAAATCCCGGGATTATTTGCCAAGAATCTCGGGATTTTCGGGATTTGTAATTTGCAATGGTGGCAATAATATAATACCTTATATTGACCAGTTTAGCTATATTTCTTTTGTTTATTTAAATATAATATTTTTTTTATATACATATGTCTATCTAATTATACATACACATAACACCGTGCGACAGGCAATTTTACGCACAAAAAAATCTGGGCAAATATATGCAGTAAAATAGCGTTTTTAGCTTTTCTCGCTAACGTCAGGATTTTTTAAATGACTTTGAAAATTGAATAATATGAGTAATTCAGAAAATGGTTTAAAAAATTTAGTGCACTGTACTTAGGAAAACAGTATGGGTATCAAATTAATGTGAAGATTCTGTAGACAATTTTTTGGTGCGTAAGGTTTTGGAAATGTCCTTAAAAATTGTATCCGTGAATATCCTTGAAATTTTGCAATATATATTTTGAAAAAATTATACGTTAAGGACTAATATAAACTCGACAACGTCCTCGAATATAGTCCTTCTAACATTATTAGCTTAAAACAATAAAATTGATTAAAAGGGCATTTCAATATCTGTTCGTCCTTATGAACCCAAAATATTTTAATTTTTTTAAATCCTAAAGAATTTTCTCTTTCATTTGGTACCCATTTTTATTCTGCTTTGCACTGAATTTTTTAAATAATTTTTTGAATTTATCATATCTTTGAAATGGCACCCTGAAATTGTGCATATGGAAACTGTGCATACGAAATAACGCATATGAGCAAAACAAAGTAATGCATACATGCAGAGTTCCGGTTCAAAACCGAAATAATGCATATGACAAAAACCGAATTAATGCATACATGCACAGTTTCGACTCAAACCCGAAATAATGCATATGACAAAAACCGAAATAATGCATACATGAAAACGAACTTCTTTCTGCGTAGGCGGTCCTCGGCCGCGCTTAGGGATTATAACCCTTACTGTGTTGCCGGAAAAGAGGGCACGGAAGTATTTTTGGGCACAACTTCTCTCTGCGTAGGCGGCCTTCGGCCGCGCTTAGGGATTATATCCCTTACTAAGTAGAACTCTCCTTTCTGTGTTGCCGGAAAAGAAGGGCGGAAGTATTTTTGCGCAGAACTTCTTTCTGCGTAGGCGGCCTTCGGCCGCGCTTAGGGATTATATCCCTTACTAAGTAGAACTCTCCTTTCTGTGTTGCCGGAAAAGAAGGGCGGAAGTGCGTAGAACTTTTTTCTGCGTAGTACTTAAGCGGGTACTTAAGCGAACATAATTATTGATGTAGTCACATCTTTTTGTTAACTTACATAAATATTTAAATCCTTAAATAAAACATGAACATTTAATGAAGTATACGGAGTTTAAAACCAAGACCTTTGCATTATTTAAGATTTTTCAATGAAAATACAGTTCATTCCCTAACAAATACCATATAAACCTAAGCTTAAGATTTTATACAACACTTAAAGAAAAAAATTCACCCAAAAATCAAAATTTTTTCTCTGAAGTGATAGTGCAGTTTTTTAGCCCATTAAATTTTAGAGTAAAAATGTGCTAGGTTCAAGTTTTTTATAATTTTTTTGCCGAAAGTGTGTAACGCTGCCACTGAATTTCAAAATATGTAAATATTTTAAGGAATTTTAAAAGAGCGCTTAAAAGGGGAAAATTATAGGTAAATTGGTAAATGGGGTACGAAAAATTTAGGTACTTAGGCGGGTTGGGTAAATAAGCGGGGAGGTACTTAAGAGAGGGATTTTCTTCAGATTCAAAAAATCATATTGCCCAAAAATGTGGTTTACTTAAGCGGGTTAGGTGCTTAAGCGGAGTGGGTACTAAAGCGGGTTTCGCTGTATATTGATTGGTTGGTGTGTTTTGAAATTTTTTTGTTTTAAACTGTTTCAATCAAGTATAGCCCATTGAATTACAGGGAGATAAAGTGCAAGTTTCAGGTGTCACGCATTTTCTTCCATACAAAGTATGTTCGGCAATTTGTTTATATGGAAGAAAATGCCCAGCATCATTTAAAAAATTCCCAAAAATCAATGGTATTTTGAAACTGAATATGAATGTATTTCATTTATTTTCATACTACATCATACATTTCCAAAAACTACTTCATGTTGATTTATTTGAAACAAATTTGCACCCATAACAGTTATTTGCGTTCGCTAACCTTAATCCTTTTCGATATGAAGCATTTTAAATATCCCTTGATTTAGGGATGTAAATTTTTTCGATTTTGGCGATCCCGAGATTTTCATCGTTCATACAATCCCGGGATCCCGGGATTAGTGCCGGGATTTAGATATTCATTATTTTCCACCAACTTAACATGAAAAAATTGCATCAATATAGTTTGAGAAGCTGTACTACAATCAGGGCTGCCAACTATCCTTATCTACCAAGTGCCATATTGAAGATAAAAAAGCGTCAAAATGTGCAAAATACAAAACTAAAAGTGCCAAAAAATGTGCCATTTTTTAAATACTTCCAATTTAGCATTAAAATTAGAAACACATTCCTAAAACAAGGGTCGAATGCCGAAATAAGATAAACCAGTTGCACTATCGAAATTAGAAAATTTTAGTTGAAAAAAATAAGTACAAGCAAATGATTTCACAAAAATGTATTGAAATATTACTATTTTTCAAAGTGCTAAATTAAAAAAATTAAGTGCCATTTGAAGTAAAATAGTGCCAAAAATGGCACGGTTTGAGCCAAGTCTAGAATATAATAAATAATAAATAAATGGGTTTGAAATCTGCTTTATTATTTAAGTTGAAAAATATTTTATTAGTAACATAACAAAAGACAGTAATTAAATTTGTACGCATTTAACAATACTTAAGCGTTTACATATCTGATAAAGTAACTTAAGGCATGTCAAAAAAGGTCGATGCAAAAACCAACTTAAGTTGTACATATTTAAGAAAATCAGTCTTCCCGCATTAGGTGCATATGTATGTATGTAATATCTAAATATTACCAGACTCTAAATGACGTTTTGAAATAAGCACATAGGTCACAGTTTCCAACTTATTTGTGAGAATCAATGAAATACCTATACATTGTATATATTTTATGATTATGATTAAACAATTAAAAATTGGACTGTATTGAACTATATCGTCGCTCAGAGCGAAATACCTCGTATATGCCAAACGCAGTAAAAGCCCAAAAAACCGATTTTTTTCAAAACTGTGGAATGGTATTTCCCTAGAACCTACTTGCTATAAGATTATTATTATTAATATTATAACGAACCTAATTTAAAAGGTTTTTGGAAATACATATTATGCAAAATAAATAAAACCAAAATTGTGTATTTTTTGCTCACTTATCCATAGCAATGAGCCCGTCTAAATTAACGTAAAACACCAATTTTGCGCGGAATTCTAATAATTTCTCGCGGCTCTTCAATGACTCTCGTATTAATTATTCAAATGTCATTTTAGGTACATACTATGTAGGTGTGTGTAAACAACATAGAGATGGTGTAACTGCCGGGCCGTTTCAAAAACTTGGCGATTAATTAACCACGATTTATTAAAGACACGAACCGATAAGTCGAATGTTGAGTTGCCATATTATTAGTAATAACTTTATTTAAATAACCATATTGAGCAGAATAAATGTATTTGTTAATATTTTTCAAAGATTTAATTATTGTATGTATACAAAAATTAAAAACTACAGTAAATGTTAAAAAATAACCAAAATGATAAAGTTCTTAACAACTTCACAGCCAAGACAAAAATAACCAAAATTGATTAAAAGTAACCAAAACGGCAACACCGCTCCCGTGAGCACCACTGATCTAAAAGTATAGGTATATGTATGTGTATTATACGGGAAGGTATTTTGTGTGATAGTCATTCGATTTTCAGCGTTCTTTTGAATTTCAAAAATGAGAAATGAAATTAAAGACCTTAACCTGTTGATTTGCGATAAATTTTAATTTTTGATGAAATTAAAAACCTGCACTATGCGAGACCTCTCTTAACTAAAAAACAGGTACACGGATTTAGATGAACGGATTAGATTGATCGCTTATAACTGTGACTAATTTTGAAATCCAGTTTTGGGTGTTTTAACGCCATGCGCATTCACTAGTGTAAACATAAATGCTCAGAACGAATAGAGAAGTCGATTAGGCCATGTGTGTCCGTCCGTCCGTCTGTCCGTGTACACGATAACTCCAGCAGAAATTGAGATATCTCAACGAAATTTGTTATATAGGTTGCCCTTTATCCAAGGTAGGTTGGTATTGAAAATAGGCGACATCGGACTTTAACTACGCCCAATTCCCATATAACGATATTTTCGAAAAATTCATGAACTACGATATTTCAGTAAATATTGGAACCAAATTGTTGAAATTTAGTATGTGGAGTAGAATTTTGGTAAAAAATAATATTATGTAATCAAGGATGGAAAATCTAAGGAAATGCTTTAAAAAGCTTATTTTGCATATATGTATCTGTAATTTTTTTTTAGTTTTTGCACACGATGCAGAAAATGAAGGTGGCTCCATTCGCCGACCGCTAACCCTCTTTTCGTCGATTTGACAGCATCCACCCATTTGCTGAGAATTTCGAAACCCAAAGAATAATAAAGGTTCACATAAAAATGAAGCGTTCTCTGGAATTTCGACAACGAATGACTTTCAGTTATTTATTTTTGTTCTGTACTCCCTGAAGGCGCTGTGGACTCAGTATTCACAAAGAATTCCGTACATAGCCCCTTAATAAAAAAAAAAAAAAATTAATAATAATATATATATATATATATATATGTGGGAGCACAGACTTGACTTACTTAAACATACTCATTAACAGAC